GGAGTTATTTTTTGTTGGGGGGGGGGTAACTTGGAGGGAAAGCTAGTTTGAAATACTTTCCGTACTGTTATTCTGGGCTTCTGTACCCTTGTGCAAAGCCATACAACTACATTTAAGACCACCAAGATATCTTTAACGTGAGCAACTTGCACACGGGACCCCCGAGATTTTTCTCCCTTGACCGAGAAGTCCAGGTGTAGATCTTTCCGACCAGAAGATCAGGGGTGTGGCTGAAAGACAGCGGTAGGAAGGAGCCAAAAAGTAGCAGTAGAAAGGCTGCAGAAAGAGTCAGGAGCCCAGAGGAGGGGGTCAAAGGAGGTGAGGGGGTGGGGGCAGAAAGAGGAGACGAAAGCAGACGACACCACAATGTTAGAGAGCAGGAAAGGAGGTGGAAGGAGACAATTCTAGATAATAAAATTTTTCAGCAACAACCCGGATTCGAACCCGGGACCTTTGAATGGGAGGCGCACACCTTGACCTCTAGGCCACGAGAGCCCCCTCAATGTACTTTCACATAATAGACCCAATTAACAAGGGAAAAACAAAACAAAACAAAAAACCCCATCAAACCATCTGTCCCCACCACAGGAAGCCACGCCTCTGGACAAACTGGACACGACACTGACCGGTCCGTGGATGAAACAATGGCGGCTGGTCCACGGGAACAGACACACCGAGGCGGCTGGCCTTGTGCCGGAGGGGCCCGAGCGCTGAATGTTGACATAATGGCAACAGACGACAAACAGAACTCTGGGACAGAGCTAGATGCTTCTCGCAGTTTTGAGGTTTCGTTGAGAGCTGTCACAGAAGTATGGAGCAGGGTTTGGAACCTTATACTAACCCTACACTTTGTTACTTTGTTTTTGTTTTTCTTTTTTTGAAAATAGATATTATACTATCCCCTGATGAATGTGATTTTGCGAAAACAATCTACATTGGGAATCAACAGAACCTCAACCTCCCGCAGTAATTTTTACGCCAAAAATTAAAATTATACCCCCCCCCCCCCCCAGCCCCTGTTCCTCCCTCCCAAATAAAAAAAAAAATTAAACTAAATTTAATAAAATATATGTAGGAATAGAAATTAAATCTTAAAAAACCAAAAGCCAAATAACAACAACAACAACCCAGAAATAGAGAATGAACGAAAGAACAAGAACCTGATTTCTCAACGACTTTGTCTTTGTACCTTCATCAATATTGTTTATAATGCTATTACCGACTAGGGGGGCAACTGAGCTATTGGTCCAAAATACGAATGTCTTTTACAGAATTATCTACCCTGTTTTTGGAGACTTCTCATAATATGGGGAAAACACGTACTTTTTGCTTCTTAACATTCATATGTTTTACATAATTCTTTAAGATATTTTATAATTAAAACTTGGTGTCGTTGCAGTTGTAAAGACAATGTACGTTTTCCCTGTGTGGTCATTCAGTGATGATGTGTAGCCTACTTATCTTTTCTGTCGAGAGTCGAGAACTGCACTTACATAAATCAAGAAAGGCCAGTTGTTGCTGTTGGTGTTGCAGATATTGTTGTTGTTGTTGTTGTTGTTGTTGTTGTTGTTGTTGTTGATGATGTTTTTGCTGTTGCTTTACCATCAGCGAAAGTGTCTGCTTGTAGGACGCCGAATAGCCAAATTTGCATACATAAATAGAGATTATGAACACATTGATTTAATTGTTACACAGGCTTATAATTATATTTGTGGCAAATGGAACGATTCTTTTTCTATTAAATCACAATACTTGACTGCAGTTGAACTGCTTCGTTTGTTTTGCATTTTGGTTGGAAATTCGATCTATTTCAAGGCTGTCTTGTCTATCTTAAAGCAAAGCAGCAGCACTCTTCATACAGGGCTAGGCAAGGAATCGTGACTTCGTCATAATGAGATCCCAACTACGAAGGACAGGAAAAAAATAGGTCGAATGCTATGTGAGATTAGAAGAGGGGAGGACCGTGTGTTACTTGAAATGAGGAACACAACACCAGTTGAAATAGTTGTGCTATCATGACTCACTCCAACTCCCCCTTCTTGATTTTTTCCCTTCCTCCTCTAAAACCCCTGCCTTTCTGTTCTGTGTGCCTTCTGTCTGTGTTTTGTCTGTCTGTCTCT